GCGATTCTGTGATTCTGTGATTCTGTGGTTAGGTGTTCCAGTATGAGTACAATTCTTGATGGTTTTATTTAGAAGGACCTTATTTATCTGCTAAGATAACTCACCCTGCTACTTGTCAAAACATATTCACTCAGGAATTCTGCTTACTGCAAGCACAGGTTCTCCTGGCCCCTGAGGTAGCACCTGTCTCTCCCAAGGCCACTGGATCCTGTCAGGTCACTTCACTCAGCCTCCCACTCAGCTCCTGGCCTGATAAATGTCAATGGGTTTTTGCTGTGGCTCCTTGTGTGGCAGCAGTCTATCAGTCATCCACAGTGAAGCACACCAGGCCAGTTGTGGAGCTGCTGCCTGGTAGTAGCATTGGTCACAAACATTAAGGCCAGATCAACTCTGCAAACCTTTGCTTTTGGAACCCATTGCTGGGCTGCAATGAGAAACTCAACTGTGCTAGCCAGGCCTGATGGCATTGGCACAGGGACCTGAGGGGCTCTGCACTTTTTCTTGTGTAACACCTTTAATCAGAGGCAAAAGCAGGTTTTGCTGGCAGAGCTACATAGACACAGGGAGATATTGTCAGGACGGTGCATTTGTATGGGTGAGAAAAGTGTTTCTTGTGTTGTTCTGAATGTAAAGGCAACTTGAAAGTTTTCTGTCTTCCTTTGGTAGCTGAATAACTCTGATAGCTTTAGAGAACCAAAATAACAAAACCATTCAACCTTAGGTAAGAGATGCCTAAAACCCGCTGAATTTTTGTAATCACTCCTTATGCTCCTAATCTGTAAAATCATTTTTGAAAATAGAGGTCAGGCTCTAATAAATCACATAGTTAATTCATCTCATCTTACTTTCACCTTCCAAAATGTGTATGTGCACTCTGGCATAGTTCTCTGAACTCTCACAGATTAATGAATTTAGTATATCTGAGGGAAAGCCATTATCTCACATTATCTGTACATTATCTGTATAATCTTAGATTCATTTTTACATCAAGGGGCCCTCAAAATTTACCTTCGATCAACCACCCAACTTTTAGATGTTTAGTGGTAGATGAGAATGAATCTTGTTCTTAGACACATCTGAATGTGAATATTTTCTTTTTCCATTCAGCCTCTTTATGCCCTTTCCCTTTCTTATATACCTTCTGTGGAGAAAGGACAATCTGCTACAAGAAATGCAACGTGAACTGAGAAATTAACCCACACATGACTGTCAAATTTGAGCATTCACAGCTCTTTCATGGAAAGGAAAATCTCCCATCCTTGCTAAATGAAAAAGACATAACACAAATGAAGGATATAGTCTCTTTGAAGGGTTGGGGGGCATTTAATTTAGGGGAAACTCACATGACAAAATACTCAAAAATATCTCACTTCCTGTATAATAAGGCTACTCACAAAAATACAGAGGAGATGCTGACATCCCATTACTGTTTTCTAGGGCAGTGGATTGTCCCTTGCCTCAGCTGCTCTGACAACAGGACCTGTGACTGGAGAGAAATAACATGGCAGCCCCATGGCTGCCGATACTCTGTGTTAGCCAAGCCTGAGCTCCAGCACTGTGTGGAGGGCAGAAAGGTACGTAACAGATTTTATTTTTATTTATTTATAGTCACCTGGATGTTTAGCATCCTGAGGCCTTAAAAACAATTTTATGATTCTCGTGTAAGAAAAATCCCCTTATATTATAATTTGAAAAAAATTTGGATGGAAAATCCACAGGGACGGAAAACAACCATTATCCATAATTTAGCCTTATATGTAGCCACAGTTGTCTGCTGCCATTTCACATAGAGCTTAGGTCACACCAGTGGAGTTTCAAGACCTGCGGTGTACATGGTTACCAGTTGGACCTGCAGTGAGTATATAAGGACTGTTAATGGAGGATAGATTTGCATTGTTGTCACAGTTTGTCTCACACTTGACATTTGAGTTGGGTTTCTTCTGCTGCATACCTAATGCATGGCATTGCTTGTGCACACTAATCTTACCAAGTCTTCTTGCACATTCTTTTCTTGTAGTGAAGCTTCTAAGGTGGAAATACAAGGTCTCCTTAATAAGCATGCTATGACTGTAGAACTGTTGAGAGAGCTCTGATCTGAGGCTCAGGTACCTTACAGAGGATACAAGTATCCAGAAAGTAAGTAATTAATTGTTATAAAGATTTTAGTAGTGTATTGTCTAGGTAAAAAAATAATAACTAAAAGTGACATTTTTACAAAATTTGAGAGCATTTCTATACAGACAAATAAAAAAATAATAGTCTTTAGTTAGCATTTCCTCCTTTTCTAGTAATTTATTGTTCTGCACAAAGTCACTCATTGCCTTTTGGCTTTATTTCTGCCTGTGGTTTTCTCATTACTATAGAGCTGTGGGTTTCTCCTGACATATTTTTCAAAAAAAACCTCATAGTTTTATATGACAGAGGAGAAGCTTGATCTGCCCCTCATGTACAAAACGAGCACCTCTGGATTGACCACAGCAAAAACTACAGAAGAATTTGATAGCTTTGCCTTAGTCTGTAATTTTCATAGACATTAGGCACTGCTTCAGTAACCAGATACCCTTTGGTCAGACAAATGAAGGATAACAGAGGAAAAATATGTCACTACAGAAGTGGATTGCCATGGTATTACTGGGAGGATGATGCTGACATTCCCACCTTTTGAATCTGACCACTCATGTTCACCAGTGTCAAAAACAGGACAAATGTTAAGGGTCCATTAAAACCAAGTATGTGAGCATAGAATCACAGAATGCATTGGGTTGGAAAGGACCTTTAAAGGTCATCCAGTCCAACCCCCCTGCAGTGAGCAGGGACATCTTTAGCTAGATCAGGTTGCTCAGAGCCCTATCAAGCCTGACCTTGAATGAAGCTTGATTTCTTAATTCAAATTTGACTATGTTCTGCCTCTCTGAGCTCACTGATCTGTTCTAGTGTCAGATGAGAGCCAGATCCTATGCAATCTACATTAACACCATGCAAAAAAAATCTCTGTAAAACTAATTGTACTTATTTCCCATATAGAATCATTTGCAAAAGTTTTCCGTCATTGTCTGATAATCTTTGCTGCTCCGTAGAAATCTGCTGGATCGCTGCTGTTACCTTTGCATAGATGTCAATTTAACTGGTTTATTCTTTTAATGTCATCTCTCTAAAGCATGTTCCCCTTTTGGTACACTTCTTTTATATCTTTCCCTGTGATGTTAATTTTTTCATCACTTTGCAGTGGTTGTAACTTCATGTGAGATTTTGCAATAGCATTTTTGCTTCTTTCTCCTAACAAATAAATGTAGAGCCTGGACCAATTCCCTCATAACAGTAGAACCTTAACCCTAAGAGAGTTTTTCTTGATACCTAAGTCAGATGAGTAGAAATGGTCCTTAGCTTGGGTAATAAGGTCCTGATTCTGTCTGTGATTAAGGCAAACTTTAGAATTACTTTACATAGTCTAAGCAATGTAACAGAAAAGGTATTTTTTTCAGGTTGTCACTGAAAGACAATTTTGCCCATCAGCTGTATTATATGTAATTATATATGTTTAAGCAATCTAGATCTTTTATAATGGAACTATTGAATAGACAGTAAGATATAATTTTTGTGAACAAATACATTTCTATTACACAAGAGATTTTGGTAACCATCTATAAATATTTACTTCCTATTTTTTATGTGAGTTTAAAACCATTATATACCTTGTCTTTAAGCACTACAGAGATCTCTGACTTCTACCCAAATCAATGACCTCATAGTGTTTGTAGTAAAATAAGCAGATGGTTTCAACACTGCAAATGTAAGCAGATTGCAAAAAGAACATGAATGCAAACCATAAGATGAAAAATCATCAACCTAAGTGAGGACACTGAGATGAGCTAGAATGCTGTTTGATTTATATTGTCATTTGCTGAAGTGTGATAGGAACAACAACTCACTCATGTGTCCAATTCTCAAAGTGTACTCAAGTGACCTGTGTACTTCTTCATTCTGGGGTTTTGTAGTATGTTGCTACACTTAGTATGTTCAACTTGGGTAATTTTGGTCTCTGAAGTTCAAAATCCTTTACAAAGGAGCCATATATTATGATTTACATTTTGCAGCATCAGAGGCAAAATCGTTCCATCGGAACTGGAGGTTACCATGAGCTCTCCCAACTCCAGCCCCGTTTTCTTACCTGTAGACCACACGGCATGTGAATTCTTGCTCAAAGTTTATTCCCAACTAAGGCAATAAAACCTCCATACAGAGATATGTATGTCTATAGCATCATTGGGTTAAATGACATCATACCTCCCATCAAAACACTAACGGCCCTCTACAACTGAATTTCTCTTCTGAGCACTCTCCATAAAAAGTTCATAGCCATGCAAGATTTGACCAGGAATGAAAGGCAAAGCAAATAGAGGCATTTGTGATTCACTAGGCTGAAGTCTCTGATTTTTGTCTTGAAAAAAATAATTTAGTTTCAGAATTCTGACTTGCTGGCTTTACTTCTTGTTGTTAAAACATCATGATAAGGCATTATAAATGACGTAAGTGTCTGTGATTATGTCTTTTCTTTTAAATAAGAGGTGTTAATCACTATGCCACCACCAAATTCTGATAACTACAGGCATTTATATCCAAAAAACCCCCAAACCAACAGGTTCTGCGTGCCTGCCCTAGATGTGCTGCAGCAATTGATGAAATAAGATGTACAGTCTTTTTTGTATGAAATACAGCACATGTAAGATTAACTGTATGTTTAAGTGCAATCATTCTGGTTTTCCTATGTTTCATAGAACAATAGTAAAATGCAGCATTGAGCTACATCACTTGCTCATTAATTTCTTTTATGCATTTGTCAATGTTTCTGAAGTATGTTTATGGTCACCAAAACAGAGCACTTCTTTCATATCTACATCATAAATAAGACTTCAAAAATGCTTTCTAATTTGTTTTCTAACTCCAGGCTCTTTTCATATCTTATATTAAAATTGATTTGTTTTTCAACACTCGGGTCTAGAATGATCATCTCCTTTCTGTATAACTGAAATTAATTTGCCCTGGCTATGACTTCAAATTGATTTCACATCATCATTAACTGCTATTTTAATTTGTGTGTATATAAAACTGTGTTTGAGCTAAGATGTTTCTGTTTCATAAAAACCTAAGACCACCTGTAGTAAAACAATAACAGATTGATGGAGACATGAGAAAGGACATACATTCACAAAAACAGTTTATGAGGCTTTATTTTGCTTTATGATGTGTCAGCAAGACTAATCAGTCATATGCTTGTATTTCAGACACAGAAAGCAGGAACATTTTGAAGTGTTGAGGCTAACATGATTCTGGTTGAGTAGATTTTCTTTCAGATCTCTTTTAATATCTGCAGTCCTTTTTCTCCTCCACTTTAGACTCTAACTATGGGTAACAAGATGCAGGCTGTTTTGTTCTTAGGGAACTCCACATGTATGCCTGAATTGAATCAAAAAAAATAGGCTAACATAATAAAAATATTATATCTGTATAATATTGGCTCAACAAAATCCCCTGTAACTGTGGCAATGGGTTTCTGAGATTTATACAATTCTATTAAGACACAATGCTTTGATTTTTGTACAAGAGCTTTAAAAAATGGGTGAAGGCATAGGGGTAATTACTTATCCAATTAGCAGCCTACAGAAAGCTGGCCTCAATGCAGAGGGGGATATATACTTTGTTTATTATTGAGAAATACTACTCAGAGTTTAGTCTTATAATAAAGTACCATTGAGTCATGTGTAATTAAGAACAGGAAATATGAAAAGGCAATATTTGCTGAAGTACTTAAAATTCAGCTGTTAAAACAGGAATTTTAACTTATAATTTCATACTAATATTTTAGAGTTCAGTAGTGTTTTGGACTTACAGGTGTTTAAATTTCCTAAGTGTGGTTAATTTATAATTATAGGTCTGGCTGAGAAGTGAATTCCACTATGCTTACACAATCTTTTAAAGCCTGTGAGCTATCATGGAATTTTTCACACAAAACAGTTGCAACAGAAGACACTGAAAACATCTGTCTGTGTGAAAGTGTTGTTCCTTGTCTGGTTAAATTATACCCTTATGTATGTCTGATCCTTTAGTCATCCTGCAGACAAGTCCGCCATTGACCTGAACAGTATATGACTACCCCTCGTGCCAGACTGTAAAGAAAATGAGATATGGCATATTCTACACACCTGAGCCATCATTTTGCTCATTATTGTCATAGAGCTAAATACAGAATCATCCCCAGAGCCCTTGGTTCTAATCATACTAAATACAAGATGGCACACACAGCTATAGTAAGTTCGTGCAGTTGTCTAGAAATAAATATGGCCATAGCTACCACACATTCAATTACATTGATTAATTATTCTAATTCTTTTAAGCTCTTGGCTTGGTTGAAGGACTTTCTTTCCTGAGACTGTACCCAACTCACTTTAGCCTTTGGGTCTTCTGAGCATTTTCTGTAAATGAAGCTGACTTGCAAACTGTGGATGCTTTAAAAGATGCTTTCTGATTGTCTGCATACCACAACAACATGTGCTTAACCAGTTTTGCACAAGGGCAGTTTGAAAAGCTTCTTTGCAGATGGGATTCCCTATGAATGTCCTTTTCTTCCATCTGGATTTTTTTAGCAAGAAGGAAAAGAATTTGTCTATTTTTCCAGGATTTACATGTCTTACAGCATGGTTGGACCAATAGTTAGAAGCAGATTGTTGGATGCAGACAGGTCTTGAATGGATGCTCTCTGCATGCAGATTTGCTGGTGATGCGCTATGCATCCACCAACCTGGGATGCATGATATTACAAAGAATACACACACATCTCTTTGAGATCTTCTCTGGATTTATGGGAGAGAACACCCTTCAAAATCTCAGCATGCCCAATCTCCATAGTGTGACTGCTGATACCCTCCTGTGATGACTGCAGGCAGACTTAAGAGTTCTCCATCAGAGCTAGAGGGCAAGGACCACATTTTTCACCTACTGCAGTCCTAGTTTTAGTGACACACCTTTCAACAATGCTGTGATTTCACTGTGAAAGTAGTTGGAGTTAAACAGATTTGTATGATTCCAGTGAAACAGTTGGGGTACGGCTCACTCAGTCAAAGAATGCTTGGCTGAAAGCTAATACGGTGGCTATAATTGACTGAAATTTTTGAGGTTAAACTGCACATTTGATCTGCCTTTCTGTAGAGTCACAAGTCTGCATAGGCTCATTTCTCTCTTCCCCAATTACATAGTCTTAACTATTATCTTAGCAGACTTGTTTCTGAGGATCCAGGTTAATTTCCCCAGTGAAACAACCTGCATTCCTCACCAGCATGATGTTGCTATCTATCTCAGTCCTGGCTCATCCTGCTCAGACACACCTTCTCCTAGGAACAAGCCTACATTCCCAGATGGACACCCAGACACTCAATAGCATTAGCTGTCTGATCTAATCTATTTCCTGACCTCCTGCTTTACCTCTTCACAACAAGGTCACTTAAGAGTAAAAATGAAGTGGGGGGGGAGAGTGCTCGCATTTTGACATAACGAAAAGATGGGAAAAAGGCTGATGGGTCCATCTCAAGTCTTTGATGCTCTGCAATGCTTGAGACTTTGGAAATATTTAGAATCACACTTCACACTTAAATTGCTAGAGAATACTCCATTTTAGCAAAACATGACATCTGTACATCATGTTCATTGGGCTTGGCCACTATTCTTCACTTCTTTTTTTCCACAAAGACTGTTGTTCTGCTGTTTTAATTCAGTGGCATATGAAGTTAGACCAAATACAGTTAGAATGAGAAAGTATCTGTCAGAATCTTAGTCACAGTAGAATGAAGAGAAACATGAAAATGTGACAGCTATGGTATCAATGTAATTTATAGCTGAATACACTCCTTTGCAATTAGAAATCCCTATGGGCGGTGAGAACAGAATGGTATCATATGCTATTAGAAGCAGAAGAAAAACAATCTAGCATGTTCTACCAACTGGTCTATGTGTGAAACCTGGTAGAGCCTGTTTGTTATTCTGCTAATGATCTGTGTTTTCATCGAAATGTTCTCACCCACATTGCAAGTTAATGATATCCTTGCCTGCTAGTATCCGAGAACTGCTTTTTAAATAGATACACATCTAGATGCCACAGTGATGGACTTACGGAGATTAAAGAGACACGAAGAAAAAAAAAAAGACAGACTGGAGACATTAAGAGATTTTGCAAGTTAAAATAATTGTTTAAAACCTCAAGCTAACCTACTTAAGAATTAGGACACATTGTAAGCATGGACTGTCTTCCTAATTGTAAACAATTGTGTGCAAGTTTGTGTCTGTCAAGGAGGAAAAGAGAGAATATCCAACCAGCCCTTCCAAGGATCCAAGGATCCTTGACTTCTGTGAGTCGTGTCATGCTTGGATTAAAGGGTTTCTTCTGAACAGAAGAAAATTAGCCTTTAATTTGCTTTAATTTGTTTACTACCATACATAATGTATCAAAGGCTTCCCTGCAGCTCACAATGGGCAAGGCATGGGAAGATCAAGTCATTGTCATGCCCATTCTTGGCCCTGCCACCAGATCAGGGTATGTTCATCTGAAACTGCTTCAGTTCTGTGGGAACCACCACTGGTATGCTGTTGTGGCTTATTTTTTCTCACAGTAAGTTCATAGTGGGAACTGGAATCAGTTCCTAAAGCTGTGCCATTCCTGAAGGGAATAAATAAATAGAGATGTATTAGATAAAGTCCAAGATGCTTTCACAACATAAAATTTCTAAGAGAATCTTTGGAAATGTATTCTTAAACATGCTATTGTGTGTAGTCTGAGTTTTATTTGCATAACCAAATATTCAAGATGGAAGTGGTAAAAGCATCAAACCCCAAATGAAATTAAAATAACAAAAACCAAACCCCAACTTACTGAGTGCCAACTACCCTGAGTTGCCAGAGGAGGAAGGAGAAACTGTGCACTGCTGTGCAGAGAACAGGGCTGTTACTGTGTAATGACTCTATGGTGTTTCTGACTCCCAATTTTACATTTATGCTCCTCTGTGGATTTCTGGCTGAGGTGACTGTGGTAATAACTGATTATACACACAGTTTCATTGGCAAACCACAGTGAACCTGGGTTCTCTTGACATTGCTTACAAGTTCTCTTCAGCAGGGGGAAATGCTAGTCCTATCCACTAAAAATAGGGCAATTACATTAAAAAAACCCACACATTAATTTCCACGGTCTCCACATACTGAGATGTTTGATTTGTCGAAGGAGTGTATAGAATGAGTAGGAACAAGCCCAAATTTGACTTCTTCATTCATTTGCAAGTAGCCCAGCAAAGACTGCTGATATTTGAAGTACTCCTGTCATGCTGATGACACTTCTAACTACCTTCAGGCCACAATGCTTCTGGTGGTCACCTCACACATGTCAGGACTCCATTCAGATTATCTGCCAACAAAATGAGCCCCTTTTCTTCCCCCTCTGAAGTGGCAGGAAGACCATATTTCTACAAACAAGGCAGCAGCTGCATTCATTGATATGTGTGTGTGTGTGTGTGTGTGTATGTGTGTGTGTGTGTGTGTGTGTGTGTGTGTGTGTGTGTGTGTGTGTGTGTGTTGCTTTGGTGTAAAGTCTAATGAATCTCATTTATGGAAGACAGGCACTAAGATGTGATGTGTAGGAACAAACCACATGAGAAACTGGAGGAACGAAAGCAGGAAGCTGCAGCAATTCCAAGAGGCTCTGTACTAGCAATTGGAAGTAAATAGAAACTTAAAAAAAAAGAAAAGATCATCAAGGAAAATACGGGACTAACTATGCAGCTGAAACCACCTATAACCTGTAATTTTTGTATTTGAAACACATAATATACCTTTTATTAGTCAGATCACACAGATTTTACTAAAGAAAAACTTTAGTATTGAGATGTCAGGGCTAGAGAACTGGCAGCTCACTGAGATATTTCTTGAATATTATGAGAAGGGCTTAAAAACCTCCAAACTAGCTGTATTCTTTTTTTAGCTTTTGGTTTTTGGAGTATACAACTTCGAAGTAATTTCTTTTTTTCCATCCAAAGATTCTTTTTATAGGCGACTCAACTAACAGAGGGATGATGTACTACCTAATAGAAAGAGTGAATAAGACTCTTCAGGAATGGCAAAAGACTCATGATGTAAAATGTTATCATAATATCAACGAAGGGAAAACATTTATCAGTTACTCCTACTACCCCCAGTTTTGGATGAACGCAAACCAGAGACCGACTTTTGAAAAAGCACTAGAACAACTGCTTCAGAGGTACTGTACAAACACTTTTGCTGCCTTGTTTGTATCCTCATTCTATTTGCAAAGGTGTTTAACACATTTTACCATTAAAGTCAGTAAACAATGAAACATAACGTGTGCAGACCGTATTGAGTGGTTGAAAAATAGAAGAAAATGACATCAGGCCTCTGATCAGGATGCCAGATACAGTTCACTGAAATGCAATGCAATGCAGTTAAAATGTTTGCCATCTGTTTTAAGGCAACGTGTTGTTTTTCTTTTCTGGGTTTCAGATCACGTCCCCTGGAGAACACAGACCAGACCGTATTAATTGTAGGTGGCGTTCAGTGGCTTAATTCCAATCACCTACAAATTATCCAAAAGGTGTTGAACAGGTAATGTTATGTCCTTGGTGTTATTCCAAGTCTTGATATGATAAATTATGAGAAAGAACTTGACCAAAAAATTTAAATACAGACATTTCATTTGTTTTCTCGTGTTTGTGTGCTTAACTGACTCTGAAAAACTGAAAGTATGTTTTGATATGTCTGTTAAGTAAAATGTGTATCCCTTTCTTTCTTTATTTGCCAAACAGGGAAAATCTATCAAATATCTTGGTAATTATCAAATCCATAGGGATGGGTTTTCACCTCCCAGTGGATGGAATACATTCTCTGTCACAGGTAAGCTACAGTATGTTTAAAGTGCATGTTCATGGAAAAATTCTCATTTCAGCAATAATTTTGCTGTCTGGTCAAAATATGTTACAACCTCTGCTGAGCCAGCTTTAAGTGGATCAAGGGAAGAATAGTGTTTGTATTTGTTCACACGTCTTGCTGATACGGATTCAAACCAATTTGGCTTATTTTGTGGATTCCAATGCAATCAGAGCACCATTCGAGATGTTGTACTGTCAGCCGTCCCAGCAACCAGAAACAGCTATGGTATTGAGTCTTCTGCCAAAGCTGAGAAATCAAGCTGGTGACAGGCAGATTGCTCCTTGTAACACGTCAAGCACAAGCCCTCCCCAGGTTTCCTTCATGGTTACTGCTGTGCATAATACTCTGGCTATTCACAGGTGTTGAAAAGAGAAAATTATTAGCTTTCATAGTTTATATACGGCACTCCTAGCCCACTATGAACTGGCACGCATCTCTTTTTGCAACCATAACACACTGCTGTATTCAGTGTGTGACTTACTGCTGCTCTCACCCTTCCTTTTGCTATGGAGACAGCCCTGTCACATTTTGCCCATTCTTTCTGTCTAAGTTAGTACTATCTGCCTGGTCCCTGCTGAATGTCTTCTTAACGATTCCAACCATTCCCTTAATTTTTCTGGAAGATCATATTAGGATACAGTAGGGAAATTGTTGGCATCAACATGAAGAAACATTGTCATAGCTTCTGCCATAGCTTTCAGCAGAGTTCAGTCCTTGGAGGAAGAAGCAGAAATTTCACTGAAGGGAGGCGAAGCAAGGATAGAAAGAGTAGTAAAAGTTTCTCGGGGCTACCTTTTTCTGTTTCTTATTCAGTAAATTTACAAAACTCCACAAGTCAGCTGCAGTGCATAACCAACATTCTTTTCCCTTTCAATATTGGAATCCTATGCCAAATTACCCATGTGGTTTGGGTGCTCTGGACCTCTGGGTTACCCCAGCTACTCTCAAAGCCCTTCTGTCTGCAGTGTCAAATCCACCACCTTGCCGAATTTTTGTCTAACCTTTTTTCTATTCCTGGTCTTCCTGCAGTATCTTAAGAAATAATAATCTGTTCTTCAGTATGACCATTTCTAAGATACCCATGGCCCTATACTTCATTTTAAACAACAGTCTCAATGACATTGGTTTGAAGCTGAATTTTTCTTTACAGAAACAATTTCACCATTTGTTACAGACAATTTTATAATAGAATTTTTTTCTGAATTACAACTCTTACTGGCTAAGTACATATTAAAAACAGCTACCCAGTGATTATATTTTAAACAGCATTGAAATCTTCCTGTGAAGGAAGCTGCACAACTACTGCAATGTAATTATAATGTCTGAAAAAATCAACAACAGTCTTGGAGTAATAGCTGTTTTCAAAAATGAATTTATAGTAGTGCATGTCTGGAGTAGAACATAACTGCTTTGTCCAAAATGCAGTTTTGCTATTCATTTCCATGGAAGAATATAATAAACTTTAAGCAGTCCTTCTGACAAGACATTGCAATATTTTATCTGGAATGCAGGCAGAAGTGCAAAACTTGTGGAACGAAAACCTGATTATTCTGGATACAGCAAAAAAATTCGGCTATGAAGTTGTTGACACCTTTGTCATCACCATGGGACGTTACAAAGAATTTCTGCAAGGGAAGTGCGGCTGCCATTTCCATGAGGTAATAGTTTACACTTAGATCATTCCCAGGTATTTAAGAGAGATTTTAACTGTCAGGTGCTTAGAAACCAAAAGGTATGCAATGAGGTTCACATCCATGTCTCAAAGTTAGGGCTGAATAAAAATGTCAGAGACAGCAGCCAACGACAGACTGAACTGCTGTGGTGATGACTCGAAATAAAAACAAGCATCCTCTTCTGCAAAGGTAACTCATATTGAAGGATGTTGCTTGGTTTCCAGGTTCTTATATAATTTGCTAAGCGTTATATATCCCTACTTCTTCTGCATGGACTCAGTTTATCATTGTACTATACCTCAGTCTCACAGGTGTTTTTCTGAAGCCTTCCTAACTGAGCAGCTCAGCAGACTCCCATCAAACCATAGGTACATTTAAAATGGAGCTTAAAATTGAAAAACCAATCTTACTGCTGAATACCTCGTTTCACACATCTGAGAAAGAGTTATCTGGGATAGTTACAGTGACTGACTCTACAAACAGAAGTATAAGTTGCTTGTACACACTCATGCCCATAGTTCTGCTTTCTTTTTTTGTCTGAAATCTACAGGAATTCTGTCTTTTGTTTTATAACTACTGGACTGGTGAAACAAGAACATGGTAAAATATACAAGTAGGGCAACTGAGAACAAAATCTTCTGTTTATTTGAAGTTCTGGCAAGGGATCTTCACAATATATTACAAATGACAGGAGTCCATGGATTAAATAAAAAAAAACAAACAAGTAAGCAAACACATTATTATATCTAGGCACAAAATCAGCCCAGAGTCTGCCAAACCAGTGAAAGTAAAGAGTTTGAAAAACAAGATATTTAAAGTTTTTCCTGGTTTCATTTAAGATGTATTTTGAGTATGTGATATGTCTTTTTCTAGTGATTGCTTTTCCCCATCACCAAAGGAGGAATCTATTTTAGTTTTGGATTTCTTGTACTTTATTTAAACAAATTAAGAAATGTACCCCTGGTTTAGTGCAGGCGACCCTGAATGAAAGTAGAGTATAATTTTTGAGTAGTCAAGTAAGCAGGTTCCCACTGCCATAAGGCTGATGACAGTGATTTTTCATATGATAGTGAAAGAGCTGTCACCAAGACCACCAGAATATTACTGTACCTTCCAACCAAGTCCTTCCTTTTATACATGACACCAACTTGCTGATATAAAGGCCAGTTCTCAGGTTCTTGTTAGGAGTGGTCAGTGTGCTGACAACTCGACCACATCATCCACTGCCTTAAAGAAGAGCCATGAATATTACATTACTCTCTCTGTAAACCAGAAAAAGCTTTGAGGAATAAAGAAGGCTCATATCTTTCCAGGTCCTTAACTCCTGATTCCCAGTACTGGAATTGTGCACTCAGACATCATCAGTAACACCATGCCTCAATTCATTTCTGGATATAATGACAGAAGCCTTCTGGTACCTCCGTAGATAAAGTCAGGTTTAGCACAGTAAGAAACTGCCTGCGGTGCTACAAGGATCTTTATTCTTATGAACTGAATCTGGGTTGTCTGTTTAACAAAAGACTAGGAAACTACCACAATTTATTCCATTAAAATTTGTTTAGGACCATAAAACTTGAACTGTCCTGTCTTTCAGGAAGATGACATTTCCTCTGTGCGATCAAAAGAGAGATGACAGGTATAAGTTCTTTCATAGAATGAAATATAGAATGAGGAGAAAAAAACAAAAAAGTTAAAACTGGAGGATAAAAAAAGATGCAATGAAAGATGTCTCTTTGAAACCAAGAATTAATGAATTTATGGCATTTCACAGTCAGTTGAGGGCTTTGCAACAGTAAGAAGCTACTAGTCGAAAGAAATCTCAGGATTTTGGTTACTGACTAGGATAATGACACAAGCAGTTTGATGTGTTATTTAGAAGACAGTTAATACTTATGGAGAAAATCCTAGAACTTTTTTTGTTAGAGTTATCAAAGGCACTTAAACATTTAAAATACTGTCACCCACACAAGTGAAATGCTAGCACTTTTCCAGCACAAATTTAGGAATTTGGTTTTTGTCAAAACAAATTACTTCAAATAAGAGAGACCACCAAATGTTTTCAAAATCTCCCAAGAGAAGGATAAAACTACTTTGCTTATTTTGCCAAGTCACGCTTATTTTTCTGTAAGTCTCAGTCTTGGCCAAGCCTGTACCCAGGGCCTGGATGTGTGCAGGGTTAGCACAGAAGCTCCATAGAGCTTCACAGGTACAAAGGTTGGCCATGACACCAGGAATTAAGTGGAAGCACTAATTTTTGCTGTGAAGAAATGTCAGGACAGCTATGATATATTTTCCTTAAAGAGCTAAAAAAGCAAAGAACTAAAAATAAGGCTTCCTTCATCAGACACCCACAGCATAAACTGGAAAACAAAATATGGCTAATTAAACCTAGGAGCAGTTTAAACCAAACAAACTGAAATTCAGTAGTGATGATAGTAAAATTCACGCATAGGCTCCGGAGTGTCTTTGTGGTGTCTGCTGGCCAAGGACTAGCACAGCAAGCCTAATTATTTTCTTGTAGCCAGTGGATTATATTTAATTCTCTTAGCCACAGCAGTCACCTTTACATAAAGTAGAATAAAAAGATAGTAACTATAAGGCTTTGATTTTTCTCCTTAAATATCACAGGCAAAGTTATAATATCAGAGACAGTCTACTGGACAACAAATGCTTTCCCAAAAGAGACAATCAACTGCCACCAGTTGGAACGCTGCTTCAGTGTGAGGCTCACTGGAACTGAGTACAGGTTTGGGAACATTACCAGACCCATCTGACCTCATGTACTGTGTGTCAACCTCACAGCTGGTTTCTGCCTCAGGCTCCTCAGCAGCTCACATGTTTTCAGCCCATTGCTGTGGCCTCTGTCCTGCTCTGGGACCAAGCACAACAGGCGTGATTGGTTAACCAATCCTTTAATCTACTCTGCTCAGTGCATGAGAGAGGCACGAACACAACTCAGTCCAAATGGATCTGGAAAAGAGGGAATAAGTCACAGAGCAGATATTTATGCAATGGATAAATAGTCCCATGGTGTAAATGCCTGCCTCCATTTCACCCAGATGGCTGTATTGACCCTTTTTTGTCTAGAACCCAGATGTAGGTGTCTTCATGGATCACTGCTGATGCTCGCCATTTCCACAGAGCTTTCGAGTGAAATTGAGAGCTTCAAAGTGAAATAATTCAGATGCTTTGTATGGAACTGGGTGGAAAACAGCGGGGCGTGATCGGTCATCAGCATTTTTCATGCACTCCCCCATCATTTTCTGTGAGCTTATGTGCAGATTTGGCCTTGCTTCTCTACCAGAGGAATCTCAACAGATAGTATGTGTTTCTACTAACAGGGAGGATCAGGGGAGAATCTGGCTCATGGAGCTGTTGTTAATGAGGCTTGAGAGGTCACTGTGCCTGAAAGAGGCATGCATGGGCCCAGGAGAATCCACCAGCCACCAAAAAACATACTTGATCCTTGAGGAAAGCAAAAAGAAAATCCTTGAATGCTTTTGATACCTCATTAATTTTAACAGTTTTGTAATCAGTTTATTTCTGCATCCTGGCAAGTGGAGTTTCATCAGGTGCTGAAACAGTTTGTGCTAGGAAAATGGCATTTTGCCTCTGAGGAGGGAGCCAAGAACACTGTGTAAAACCCCAGCACTTTTCATGTTTTGGGAAACCAGATGAGATGGATTAAATCTACTGCTTTGTACTTTCACTTTCTTTCTCTTAAAAAATGACCTAAAAAGTTACCTTCTAAACTCCCAGAAGATGGCACCTCTCTATAAATGACATCTGACTTAAAGCCCGGCCGTGCAGGGCTGGCTGTTCTGTGCAGTCAGAAAAGCAGAACTGAAATGCATTCAGCAGTTCTTATTTAGTTCTCACTAGCTGGCAGAACAAAATTATTTCCCCTAATTGTCCTGATAAATTATCTGAGTTTCCACCAACCCACTTCAGAGGGCCTTGGGTCACCCTGTTAGCATAGAAATTCACAGCTCTGTTGACCCTACAATCTTTGCTCAGATTGCCAAGGGATCTTGAGTCACAAAGTGATTATATCAATCTGAGACAAAAACATCTCGCTTAACTCCTGCACTTTCTGCCCAAACGTAGTTCTATGCACACATGCAAACCTGATTTTTTTAATGCCTGGTTCTTCACAAATGCTTATGGAGAAGTAGATTGGCCATAAAGACCTTTATGGAACCTATTTTTTAAATTCAGATTTATTTCCTAATTGAAATCATGGTCACAACAACTAGCAACCTTGGAATTTTGGTATCTTAATCAGTGGCTGGCTGCTGGGTGAACATTAGAGTGCATTCCTGGAATGCAGTTTGGGTGATTGGTTCAAGATGGCATCGTTTTGAAAGAGTTGTAAGATCTAAGGCACTAATTTAGAAAAATGAACCTGCAGTAATTGCATGAAAACAAATAACAGCACTTGGCTTAGATGTATCAAAGTGATCAGAGGATATATTAACTTTCTACATGGATAATTCCTGGTCTTTTTTTAGTTCAGCCAGCTCCCCCATAGCCTCTCTGCCCAATCTTTCAAGCCTTTGCACATGTTTTTCCGTCACTCACATTTAATTTTGTATGAGTTGTTTCATTTAGTATGAGCTCCACTACATATGAACATTGTTTCTGACTGTTCAGTGACAGCAGATATACTTTATATTTTTAAAAGGCTAATATGCTTCTGCATAAATATATGCATTAATAAATGATGTCTGGTTTTCAAGTGTCTGCTGTGATTGACAGCAGGAAAACTGATGGGCATCAGAGCTATCAAGTCAGCATATATTTACTCTACTAAAATTAAGTTAACCACTTGGGCTCTTTTCTGCCTTCTCTGGATTTGCCAATGCCTGGACTGGGGTCCTCTGTCTTGCATATGTGCAAGGTTCTGAAGTTTTGTCTCTCTTGAAGTTGCTTCACTATTCATCAATGTCTGTGTGTTCACTGAGACATCTCACAGGAGATCACCC